AGATCCAAATCATGACCAAATGACAGCCACACGTGCACACATTCACACCCCGTGGGAAGGGATGCTTGAGTCGGATGTTGGCCAAAGCAGTGAAGGAGGGTGAGGTGGTATAGAAAGTCCTCGACTATCCAGAGGAAATCCGTATTTACTCAGAAGTGACCGTGCAAGCCTCCTACTCCCTTGCTGGCTACTTGGTGGCATGTGGTGCCTGCGGCCTGGGCCCCACAGCTCTGTGACTCACTGAGGCGGCCGGGCCATCCCTGGTCTCACGTCAGTCTCTCCTGCTGCAGGACACCTGGCATCAGTTGGGAAGTGGGGCAACCTGTTCCGGGTGGGCCTCCTGCCCAGCGCACCCCAACTTTAGGAAAACCTGTCCGAGGACCTGGGAGAGACAGGCTGAAGCAGTTGTGCCCATTTTCAAGATGCTCTCTCTTCTGGGCTTTGAGTCTTCACTTCACTGGGGGTGTGTGTGTGGCGGTTGGCGGGGGGGTGGGGGGTGTTGCATGGAGTTAATAAAAATGCAGCAGGAGGGAGAAAAGGGGGAGAAGGGAGTGAAGCCCCTGATTGCAGAGAGCCCCCCTGGGAGGGTGAGAGGGTGCATTTTGCTCACACCCATTCTGTCCATCCCTTGGAAGCCAGCCAGGCCTGAGCACAGACGTGGAGGGATGGTCAATGCAGGGCAGCCTGGAAACACTGGGAGCTGGCACTTCTGTTCTCTGGTGGCTGCCTGTTGGGAGATACTGAAGGTCAGAGCTGGGAGGGTATCTGGACAGAATAAGGACATCCCCATCGTCATCCACACACCACCTTCATGACTTGGGGCCTATCTGTGTCCCACCTGGATTATTACTTTTTTTAAATCGGCTATTTTTCACCTAAAATTTATTTCTATAGGAGCCTTTATATGAATATCAGCCCTACGAAACCACAGGTTCAGCAGGTTGGTTTTATTTTTCGTGCATCAGCATAAAGACATACCTCTTCACGGTAAAGCAAGCGTGTCTCCAGGTCCCACTTTAGGTGGGTAACGCTGGGTAACACTGACCAGCCTCGCGTTCTCAGAGGTGCCTCTGGCTCCTGCGGTGGGAGGGGTCTGAGTCGCTCAGCCCGCTTCAGCCAGAGCACCTCCCTTTTTTTTTTTTTTTTAAATATATTTCTTTATTGATTTCAGAGAGGAAGGGAGAAGGAGAGAGAGATAGAAACATCAATGATGAGAGAGAATCATTGATCGGCTGCCTCCTGCACATCCCCTACTGGGGATCGAGCCCACAACCCAGGCATGTGCCCTTGGCCGGAATCGAACCTGGGACCCATCGGTCCGCAGGCCGACGCTCTATCCACTGAGCCAAGCCGGCTAGGGCAGAGCACCTCCCTTTTAATCTAGTTTCTACATCGGGGTTGTGCACAGAATTTGTATAACAAAAATAATTCAAAATCTAAAGAATAATCATCTGAAAACTGCGGGTCTAGTCCAGTCCCGCTCACGGTGCAGACCAGGCAACTGAGGTCGGGGTCACATAGCAGGTGGAGGCAAAGCCTGACCTAGAACCCAGGTCGTCAGGCCCCCAGTTCTCCCCAGAGGCAGGGAAGGTGTCTCCCTTCGCTAAGGAGCCGTGCTGGCCTTGTGGCTGGGAATCGTGGGAGGGCCATGCTGGGGAGGGCGGTGGAGAGGCAAGCGTGGGCACCAGGGGTAGGGAGGGGAGCAGAGGGGTGGGGTGCAGCGGGGGCTGGGGGAGCAGCGCGGCGGACCCTCTGAGGGCGGGAGAGCCCAGCCTGCCTCGCCAGTTTCCCCGCAGGCACCCAGGTGGGGGCAACTGGGGAGGAGGTGAGTGCCCTCTGTGAACACGCCTCAGGATCTGGGGGGACATAATTACCCCCCCCCCCATCACACACAGCAGATGCGTCTTTTCTTCAGACTCAACACTTTCAGGCCCTACCTCCTAGGCATTCTCATTGTTAGTGTGGCCTGTGGGACCCCACCCCTCCATGTGCCCTGCTTCCAGCTAAGAACCCTGTAGGAATTTGTGGGAGCCTCATCATTGCCCAGCCCAGGAGCAGCTGAAGGGGGTAAGCTGAGTGGGCATTGGGCATGAGGGGGCTGAGCCAGCACCCCCCTCCCCCCCAACTGCTCCGGACACCTGCTGAGCCTGGAGTCTGGGAGGGGCCTGTGGACTCAGAACATGGCACTTCTCCGCCTCTGCTGGGAGATCCAGCCGCCAGGGTTCACGTCCATCTGCAGCATCTTCATCACCCACTGGTCCCGGCGGGCACCTTCGATGAACTCATTCAGAGACAGCTGGCCTGAGAGAGGGGCGGGAGAGATGGGCCTGCGGAAGACGGGAGAGACAGGGCAGGGGGCAGGGGAGAGGAGAGGAGGGGCAGAGGAGAGGTCTTCTCCCCAGGGGGCCTGCAGCTCTCACACAGGAGCCTAAGCCCAGCGCCTGGGATGCTCCAGGTTCTCCTGGAGCCTTCCAGGCTTCCTAAAGGGACTTCTTCGCGAATGGACTGAAGTGTTCCTTTGCCCGTGGAGCCCTGGGCATGCTCTGGAGGGCTCTTCTGGGCGTGTTCCCAACAGCTGCCTCCCTGCACAGCCTTGGGCTTTATTACCCACTTCGTCCTCCCGGCCATTATCACCCGCTTCCAGACCAGGCTGAGAGATCACGTGCCATCCTACCATCCCTCTGCCCGTCTCCAAAGCTCCCACCCTCTCGCTGGCCCGGCCTCCACCAGCCACTCCATAGGAGTCTTACTGGCTCTTACAAACGTCATGGGCTAGACACCCTTTGCTGTTTCCTGGCGTCCTCTGCACACCCAGCTCGCAGATGAGGACACCAGTTGAGAGGTGGAGGGGTCTGCCCAGGTCACACGGCCAGGCAGTGGGGGCGCTATGGGTGGGCCACCACCTCTGCCCCTCCTACCGTCTCCGTTCGTATCCACCAGGAGGAAGATCCGGTCCACGACCTCCTCGGGCGTGAGCAGCTGGCCTTGCTGCCCGGCCTCCCCCTCCACCCTGCAGGCTTTCTTCAGCTTGTAAATCGCCTGTGGAGGAAGCCCAGAGGCATAAGGGGGTGGGCGGCCCTACAAACCCTGCCCCTCCCCCAACCCACGTGCCCGCACCCTTTCCCCAGCGCTGCTCCCCAGGTGTGCATCCGTCCGAGGCCCACAGAACCCAGGTCCAAACCAACACTGATGTGCCTCCGGGTCCCACTGGCCTACTTGCAACTGGGGATCCTGACCGCACATGCCGCCCCACCCCGATGCCACCTGTGGTTCCATCGTGAGCCCCAAAGATGAAACCCAAAACCTCTAATGAGCCCTGGCGGGTGTGGCTCAGCTGGCTGGAGCATCCTCCCTCTGGCGCACTGACAGGGCAGGTGCGTGCCCAGGTTGTGGGTTAGATACCCAGTCTGGGCATGTGCGGGAAGAAGCACATCCATGTTTCACGTTCACATCAAGGTTTCTCTCTCTCTTGTCTCTCTCTGTTCCCCTCTCTCTAAAATCAATAAAAGCATGAGGATTAAAAAAAGAAAAAACCACCAAAAAACTCCAAAAGCACAAAACACAAGTCTTAAAAAAAACAAAAGCCCTCTAATGAGGGATGTGGATGGCACTGTGATGATGTCGACACTACTTTACGGAGGAAAATGGAGATTCAGGGAGGAAAAGAGAATCCTATATGATAAAAGGGTAATATGCAAATCGACCGAACAGTGGAACGACCGGTCACTATGATGCACACTGACCACCAGGGGGCAGACACTGACCTCTACAATGTCGAGCAGCTCCGGGCGGTCGATGCAGCCGTTGCGGTCCTTGTCATAGATCTTGAAGGTCCACTTCAGCTTGTGCTCCAGGGTGCCCCTCAGCACCAGGTTCAGGGCTGCCACATACTCCAGGAAGTCAATGGTGTTGTCCTGCTTTGGGAGTGGGAGCTGTGAGCCCTCCTGGTCCACTGCTCACCTCCAGGGCACAGGTGGGCACCTACTCTGGACCATCCACTGCCACAAGCTCAGGGCTTTGCAATACGTTTCGCCTCTGCACCTTTGCTCATGCTGTTCTCCACACTGGCATCCTTTCCTCTCCATGATCACCCAGTTCTACCTGTTCTTCAAGGCTCAGCTCAAAGGTCCCCTCCTCTAGGAAGCCTTCCTTCTTAGACCACTTCAGCCAGCGATCCCTCCCTCCTCTCACATTCACAGCACCTGCCTCCTATTCTGTGCAGTTTGGGACTTACTCTGGCATTGGCACCAATTGCTTCCTAAGTAAGCCTCGTTCCCTAGCTAATGTGTGCTCTGGAAACAAGAGAGGGGTTACATTGCTTTTGTTTCTCTTCCATGCCTAGCACATTGCCATTTCTGCAGAGTCAGGATCTCATAAATATTTACAAACCAGAGGCCAGTGCATGAAAATTCATGCACTGGGGGGGAAGGGGGTCCCTCAGCCCGGCCTGCCCCCTCTCATAGTCCGGGAGCCCTCAGGGGCGGGAGGCAACCCGGCGATCAGGGGAAGGTGATGACCCATCACATCTCTGCTGCTGCCACTGCCGGCAGCGCAAGCCTCGGCCAGCCCCGGTTACCTGAGCCTCAGGCAGCCCTGGGCGGCTGGGTAGCTGCCATTCAAGGCTTGCCTGTGCCTCGGGCTGGCCCTGGGTGGCTGGGGGGCTGAGGGGACTGGGGGACTCTGGAGGCAGGCGCGCGGAGTGGCCGGGGCAGGCCTGGCCTTGCCACATGCCTGCCACCCCAGTGGGGCTGAGGGGACTGGGTGCTGCCATCTTGTGGCTGTGGGTGCCGCCATCTTTGAGGGCAGGATGGTCAATTAGCATATTCCCTCCTTATTGGCTGTGGGCGCTGCCATCTTTTGAGGGTGGGACAGTCAATTAGCATATTCCCTCCTTATTGGCTGTGGGCACCACCATCTTTGAGGGCAGGGTGGTCAATTAGCATATTCCCTCCTTATTGGCTGTGGGTGCTGCCATCTTTATGACAGCATGAGGATCAATTAGCATATTCCCCATATTATTAGATAGGATGCCCTAGCTCAGTGGTTCTCAACCTGTGGGTCACGACCCTTTGGGGGTCGAACGACCCTTTCACAGGGGTCACCTAAGACCATCGGAAAACACATATAATTACATATTGTTTTTGTGATTGATCACTATGCTTTAATTATGTTCAATTTGTAACAATGAAAATACATCCTGCATATCAGATATTTACATTACGATTCATAACAGTAGCAAAATTATAGTTATGAAGTAGCAACGAAAATAATTTTATGGTTGGGGGTCACCACAACATGAAGAACTGTATTAAAGGGTCGCGGCATTAGGAAGGTTGAGAACCACTGCCCTAGCTGGTTTGGCTCAGTAGATGGAGCGTCGGCCTGCAGACTAAAGGGTCCCAGGTTTGATTCTGGCCAAGGGCACAAGCCCAGGTTGTGGGCTCAGTCCCCAGTAGGGGACGTGCAGGAGGCAGCCAATCGATTTTCTCTCATCATTGATGTTTCTCTCTCTCTCTCTCTCCCTTTCTCTCTGAAATCAATAAAAATATATTAAAAAATATATTTATGAATCAATGAATAAATGATCAACTGAAGCTGAATTTGAGACCAAGGTAGTTTTGAAAGATTAGAAAGCTGTGCTCACATTGAAAATTTCTTTTGCACTTTCATTCACTCGGTGCCTGGGGGAAAGGGGACAGGCCGTGCAGCCCTGCTCACCTAGGCCCACGTGGACTTGACACTGAAGGATAGGCCTGCACCCCACCCCCACCCAGGAAGCGGGAGACAGAGCTCAGGTGCTAAGGGGCCAGCGGAAGGAGGAGGGCACAGGTCACTTTGGAGGTGACCCTGAGCAGGAAACCGAACTTTCCCCCAGCAGAAATGTGACAGCAACAATGATTCCAACAGCAGTGAGCAAGAGGCTGAGGAACCTGCTGTGACTCCGGAGGAGTGTGAGGGGAGAGGCTGCTGGTGGTGGCTGCGGCGGGTCAGTGGGTCTCAGGCTGAGCTCCACGGGGCGTATTTCAGGGCGGGGACCTCACTCTCCAAATCAAACACCTGAGTCATCAGCTCCCCAGGAGTGCCTCATTCCCATGACTGTGTAATCAGAAATGGTGCTGCCGGCCCAGAGCACCTCTGTCTCATTGGGTCAGGCCACCCGGAGTCCCAGCCCCAGATGGGGGTGCCTGGGTGAGCAAGATGTGAGCAACAGGAGAACACGGCAGGAAATGGGGAAAACAGCATAAAAGCCTCTGGATCAACCAAGAAGAAAACAAAAGGAGCCCATCTCAGCACCTGAAGTGTTTATTCTGTATCTTTTATATAGTTCTTCTGGCCCCCCTCCCCCCACTGTGTACTACATAATTGAGATCAGACTGTAGGTATAGTTTCAGTTCCTGGATTTTTATTTTAAAACTAGAGGCCTGATGCATGAAATTCATGCAAGAGTAGGCCTTCCTTCCCCCTGCTACTGGCACCAGCTTTCCTCTGGCACCCGGGACCTGGGCTTCCCTCGCAACCCCGGTTTCATCCAGAAGGTCATATGGAAGGAGGTCCAGTCTAATTAGCATATTACCCTTTTATTATTATAGATGTCCCATTCTTCAAAATTATTTAAAATCATACCTTTCATTTTCTGAGGTGTCCGGGACACCCCCTCTTTCTGAACGTGGGTTTAATGTTTTACACCACACGATGAGCATCTTTGTACACTCGTATTTCTCTAACATCTCCGGTGGCTTCTTTGGGGTAGATCCTTAGCAGTGGCTGTTTGTCCCCACCCCCCACTCGTCTTTAGTGTACTGTTTTTGCAGGTGTATAATTTTTTGTTTTTGGGGTTTTTAATTTTAAAAAACAATTTTTTAAATATGTATTTTTTAAAATTGATTTCAGAGAGAGAAAGGGAGAGGGAGATAGAAACTTTAATGAGAGAATCACTGATTGGCTGCCTCCTGTTGGGGATCAAGCCTAAAACCCAAGCATGTGTCCTGACCAGGAATTGAGCTGTGACCTCCTGGTTCGTGGGTTGCCGCTCAACAACTTGAGCCACACCAGCCGGGCTGTAGGTGTATAGTTTTATAAAAATTTTATCATTCGTAGATATGAGTAATCTCGACACAAACTCACT